GAAAAAAATGTAAAATATTGTTGAGTATCTCTTCCTGGATGTACGAGTACAGTTGTCATAGCAACAGTTATTTTCCTCAGCAACGCTACTGATCTAGCTGTTAGAGTAATTCTTCTATAGAAGGTAGAAGGAGGAAGAGAGAGAGGATCAAGAGAGAAAGAATGGAATGACATCATGAGAAGTAACATGACTTACCCTCTTTGATGAAAAGGAGCATACATTGGGTACCCCATAAGAACAGTAACAGTATACCATAACCTAATGATAACAATAAACAATGTATCATGTAATAAGTAAAAGATAATGCACATAGACATGTACATGTACAGTACATGGATGCACATAGCCTTTGCTTTTTTCAAATTTTTAAAATTCTTGAATTCTTATAACTCAAAAATTATCAGCTCAAATTTTCTACATAGCATAAAGGCATCAATATGTATCAGAATATGGGGGTCATTTTGGATCAATTTTTTTTGAAAAAAGCATTCAAAAATTGGCCTATTTTTTAAAATGCACATACATGTAGCTCGAAAATTATTTGTTGGAAACAGCTCAAACTTTCTAAATATCATAAGGACATCAATATGTATCAAAAAATGTAATAAAAATTTGAGGTGATTTTGGAGCCATTTTTTGCAAAAACCCATGTGCTATAGTACAGGGTATTTTCAAAAAAGGCTGATTTTAAGAAATGCCCATAACTCGAAAAATATTTGTTGGAATCAGCCCAAATTTTCTACATAGCATAAGAAATCAATACGCATCAAAAAAAATGTAATAAAAATTTGGGGTGATTTTAGAGCCATTTTTTGCAAAAACCATGGGCTATAGTACAGGGTATTTTTCAGAAAATGGCTGTTTTTTAAAATGCTCATGACTCAAAAAATATTTGTCGGAATTAGCTCAAACTTTCTACAAAGCATAAAGACATTAATACATATCAAAAAATGTAATAAAATTTGGGGGTGTTTTTGGAGCAATTTTTTGCAAAAAAACCATGGGCTATAGTACAGGATATTTTTTAGAAAATGGCTGTTTTTTCAAAAATGCTCATAACTCGAAAAATATTTGTCAGAATTAGCCCAAATTTTCTACTTAGCATAAAAGATCAATACCTATCCAAAAATGTAATAAAAATTTGGGGTGATTTTGGAGCCATTTTTTTGCAAAAAACCATGGGCATATAGTACAGCGTATTTTTCAGAAAATGGCTGTTTTTTAAAAATGCTCATAACTCAAAAAATATTTGTCAGAAACAGCTCAAATTTTCTACACAGCATAAGGACATCAATATGTATCAAAAACTGTAATAAAATTTGGGGGTGTTTTTGGAGCCATTTTTTTGCAAAAAACCATGGGCTATAGTACAGGATATTTTTTAAGAAAATGGCTGTTTTTTAAAAATGCTCATAACTCGAAAAATATTTGTTGGAATTAGCTCAAACTTTCTACAAAGCATAAAGAAATCAATATGTATCACAAATGTAATAAAAATTTGGGGTGATTTTGGAGACAATTTTTGCAAAAAACCATGGGTTAAAGTACAGGGTATTTTTCAGAAAATGGCTGTTTTTCAAAATGCTCATAACTTGAAAAATATTTGTCGGAAACAGCTCAAATTTTCTACATAGCATAAGAACATCAATATGTATCAGAAAATGTAATAAAAATTGGGATTGATTCAGAAGCAAATATAAAATTAAAAAATAAAATCATAAACTCACTATATTATCATTTCCTCCTGACACCAGTTGCTGATGATTTGGTGACCAGTGAATCCCACAGACCTCCTGGGTGTGGTCTAATAGTCTCCTGGTAGACGTGAGTCCCACTGTAATATTGACCCACTACATACACGTAATATACCACCAGTCCATGACGGGGAACCTCTGAGAGAGACAGTGTAATTGAATTTAATATTTTGTGGTTTATTTACAAAATAGACTCCATAATATTTATTATTAATTTTAATACTTTAACATGTCAAATTTGTATTAAATACGTGTAATGTACATTTACATTGTATTCTAATGCTGTGTAAAATGTTTAAGCTAATACTCATCACTAAATTTTGTAGCTATACGTGTGTACATGCACACATGTCAATAGTGAAAATGTACCAAATTTTGGAAAAAAGAATTTGAGATAAAAGCAACAAAAATTTATTACTATAATTTTTATTCTTCCACATGTTTACAGGGAAACACATTAAAAATGAAAGTGGCTTTGGCTGTTTACAAAAATATTAGGTCACACACATAAATTTAAACTATACAGTATTTATTAAAAGACACATTAATATCCTTACTCAGGAGGTAGCATAGCTTTCATCATCACAACTTCCTTTATGACCACACCTCCCCTCACTCCACCCACTCCTCATCCTTACCTACACAACATCACATGACTATCATCAAAAGTCACATGATCTCTCACTTGTATGGTGACGAGGGGATCTTGAGGAATCGAGGGAGAGGTTGGCCGTGACATGTGGTCTCCTGGTTCTTCAATACAAGAGATACTAGAGGACCAATACTGTTCTTTTCCGGAGGATGTCAGGTCTCATTCATTTAATTAAGTGGAGAACATCAAAGAGAAGATAATGGAGAGACTCAAACCTTCCTAACATATAGGAGAGACTATAATAGAAAGAGAGGGAGGGAGAGATATACATAGAGAAAGGAAAGAAGGAAAGGAATAGAATGAGGGGGAGGAGGGAAAAGGAGGGAAGAAAAATAGAAAGAAGAAAGGGAAGAAAGAAAAGAAACAAGTAAAGAAATGAGAAAATGGAGAGAAAAATATATATGTACATGGTGATAGGAAATGTTTCCTGTTTTTCTATCACTTTTCCTTCAAATTGTGTGCGCCACTGCTTAGGTACAGTTTTCATGGATTAGTAAAGTGTACGAATCAAGTTAGGAAATTAACTGCAAAGAAGCAGCTAAAAGCAAGAAAAACAAAAAAACGTGCTTTACATATGTACATGTATCATTAACTGAAAATAACTATAAATATACATGTACATGGCATGCATGCATGTATCAATGAACAATGTTACGAAGAAAAATTGAGGTAATGCTGTCTATACAGTATAGCTAATAGGAGAAGCACATGAAATAAAAGTTGAGATCCCTCCCTCTCTCTTTCTCTCTTACTCCTCATTATTTCAATTAAGTTCTCTCATTCAATGATTTCAATCTATTCTCTCATCAACAATATTCTGCATGATACAGATACTCATGTACATACATGTATTATGGTACAGTACATGTACATGCATCTATTTTCCGTTCATTTAGTGTATGAATCTGCTCCATACTTACATGTACATGTACATCAAGATGTAGCTACATACCATGAGACACAATCAATGAGACATATCCTCCATCATCAAGAACCCTAGCAAGAACTGCACATCATCATAAGTCATAATAACTGGAGAGAGAGAGAGAGAGAGAGAGAAGAAAACAGAGGTTTAACAAAGCACATAATGAACCATTGAAAAAATTAATGACAGTGTAGTCAATAGTCATCAGTACATAATGCTGGGTGTGGCCCAATGACCTTAATTGTCATTAAAATTATGCAACTAGACTCGACTCTAGCCCTGGCCCTCGACCCCTCGCATGCTTCGTTAAGGCATAGTTAACTTTAGCAACACAAGAATGGCATCTAAAAGTGAGTGAAAACTCATGGTGAGAACCACTAGTCTCTTCTACTTGTATCTCTTTCATTCTCTCACTTTCTTTCAGTACTAGATCTATTATTATTTACTCAGTGTACTATCACCCCTCTCATCTAGGCCTGAGAATATTACGCTCACAATTTTAGTAATTATGCTATGCTACAGTGCCTAATGATTGTTGAATTTTTTTTCAATTGATTGCTATTATTCTCAAAATTATTCTTCAAACATGTTTTTAAGAATTATTCTAGCCATAGTTCAAAAACTTTAAAAAGAGCACTCTTTCCGACATACCGTAATTTTGGAAATTTCCAATTAGAAAATAAATTGGATAGGTAATTTTCATTTTTCTACCTATCCGAAAATTAAGATTATCCAAAAATTTCCCAATATGGTATGCATGTACATAATTCACTGTCAAAAAGAATTTAAAAAGCATTGGTTATCATACTTTTCCTTCATGGACCAAGGATTTGCTTAATATAAACTTATTTTCACAGTCACCAAGGCAAATATGTAGTTCTTTAAAAAAGAGCATGTACATGATAAAATAGGTTGCTGTGCCAGCATTATTCTTTGTGCTCTTGAGGCTCTATTATGCTCAAAAAAATGCCAGCCTAATATTCTCAGGCTTAGGCTCTCATCACTATATCCAATACTCGTTTGTTCTGTAATCTGGAGGCCTTACCTTATTAATAATATGCCTAAAGGTGGGCAGCTTTGTTGCCAGTACCTTTGATGTGGTTGATTGAGTAACAATGCTGCATAGTGGAAAAGCTAATTTAATAGTTATTATGTACTTGCACATGTAAACAAGCACAAAAGATAGGCAAAGATCTGTAACAAGATAACTCTAGATAGGGTGATCCTGTTAAGTGTTCTGCAGCCTTGGGTTTTTGCTATTGAAGTTTCACCATTGATTTTCTTCCTATTTTTGCTAATATTATATTTTGCTAAACCAGAGTCCCCTTGAAAACACTAAAATTTAAGAGTGCAATTAATACCCACCCTAAAGTAAATAGTCCTTGAGGGGAAAGTACAAAGAAGGGTGACCAAGTTCATATTTAATGACTTTACCAGTGAGACTTAGGTCTTTCAATCTCCTCCCACTGATGATGACCCATTAACTCCTTACTTATCAT